ATGTTAATGGGAACAGCAGAAGACACAAGAGCTTCTTGGGCATGGAGGTGGGGCACAACAGGCCACATAGCAGCACAATGTGTCACCCGTTGGCGGTGAGCTGGCGGGGCAACGGGAAACCGTCCTTTAGCCACCGCAACCTTCTTCTTCGTGGGTGACGAGATCGTTCCCGACAGTTTGCAATCTCTACAGCCCTCCGGCAAGATGGGTGCGCCGCATGGCGCCATCCCCGACACCCACCTGGCTATCACCTTCCACGGGAAGTGCATTGTGAAGGTGGAGACTGTACCAGCTCCCCGGCTGCAGGAAGCGGGTGAGGCTCGTGCCGCCGGCCTGTTGCTCCCGCTCCGCCGCCACTCACACCTTGCCGCTCACCCCCAACTCTGCTCCCGGCAGGCGATGCCATCGTGCAGGTGGACCTGTGCGGCCTGTGCGGCTCCGACCTTCACCCCTACCACTGCCGCGAGCAGGGCCTGGATGCAGGGACTGTGATGGGCCATGAGTTTGTGGGGCACGTGGTTCAGACAGGCAAGCAAGCGGGCCGGCAGGCCGGCAGGGCCGTGCAGCTCAGCGAGCAGCCATTCTAGCTCCCCACTGATCTAACAGGATGCCGGCTGCGGTGTGCAGGAGAGGGCGTGCAGCAGTTCAAGGCGGGCGATAGGGTGATGTCCCCTTTTACCGCCAGCTGCGGGGCCTGCTTCTACTGCCGCCACAACCTAACTGCAAGGCAAGTGATGCCTGCATCAGGTGGTTGCGCCCTGGTGGTCGCCCATGCTGTTGGAACATGCGCCAGCTTGGCTATCCCTTGCCGCAGGTGCGAGAAGTCGCAGCTGTTTGGGTGGGTGGAAGGCGGGAAGGGCCTGCACGGCGCACAGGCGCAGTACGTCAGGTGGGCGCCGAGCTGTTACACAATGGCGCCGCTTCCTGTGCCACCAGCGGGCCATGGCATTCTTGACTGGAAGGTATACCTGGCAATCATTTATTTGGTTACTATACTGGCGGTACTGCAGGGTGCCCATGGCGGATGCCACGTTGGCCCTGGTCCCGCCCGATGTGTCGGATGAGGAGGCGCTGCTGCTGGGCGACATCTTCAGCACAGCATATTTCGCTGCCTGCAACGCCGGCATTGCTGAGCTGGCGGCGATCGCCGCCGTCCAGCGGGAGGCGGGCCCAGTGGTGGCGATCGTGGGCTGTGGCCCCGTGGCGCTGCTGGCAGTCCTGGGTGAGAGGCGCCGGCTCCCCTCTCCCAGCCTCTCTGCTCGCTGGCAGCCAAGCTTCCCTGGCCGGCAGCATCGCCTTGACCACAGCACGAGCGTCCGCTACCTGTGCAGGCGCCCGTGAGCTGGGCGCTGCGTCTGTGTTCGCAATAGACTCGGTGCCTGAGCGCCTGGCGATGGCAGAGCGCTTTGGGGCGGTGCCGCTGAACCGCGACCAGCTAGACCCGGTGGCAGCGGTTAGGTGCGCTGGCCCTGGCTGGCCCTTTCGCATGCCCATTGGCATGGACCCCTGCCTCTGCCCCCGCTGCCGCTGCACATGGGACCAGCACGGAGCGCCCCCCTGGCCTGCAGAGAGGCAACCGGCGGCCGCGGCGCAGACTGCGTGCTGGAGGTTGTTGGCAGCCCCTCGGCGCTCAGGACGGCTATGGATCTGGTGCGGCCTGGCGGTACCATCTCCTCTGTCGGCTGCCACACAGGTGACAGCGGCGCTGCCGTGGCCGTGCCTGGATGGGGGCCTATGCAGCGCCTGGATGGGGCTCCATGCATGCAGCACCAGCCCCTGCCTGACTTAATCTTCCTCCTCCTGTCCCGCCCCCTGTGCAGAGGCCACCTTCCCCTTCTCCCCGGTGACTGCCTACAACAAAAACATCACCTACCGGAGCGGCCGCTGCTCAGCACGGTGCGTGTACGGCCTGACTGCAGTACACAGCGGTGCAGCAGCACACCGGCCCGGCCTAATTCTGCGTCGATCTGCTTGCTGCCAAGCCACATGCCTCCCCTCGTCTGCCTGGTGCAGGTACTACATGGAGTGCCTGCTGCCGCTGGTGCGCAGCAAGAAGTACGACATCACCGCCGTTATCAGCCACCGCCTGCCACTGTCAGCTGGTGTGGAGGCCTACCAGCTCTTCGACAGCCGCGCCGCGGGGTGCACCAAAGTCGTGATGCGGCCCTGGCAGCAGGAGGAGCCGCAGGAGCAGCTGGAGGCCTAGCGCAAGCTGTGCGTGTAATGCCTGCTCGTGCACAACCCACCGCCATCGTAACGCAGCAGTAGCAGCAGAGAACATTGTGAAACCTTTGCAGTCAACAGAGCGGTGGGGTCGCAAACATGTGAGCCCTGCTCCGACATCTCACTCTCCCACGGCGCCTCCGACATGGCGGCGGGCGCCGCCAGCTCAGATTTTGCAAAAGACACCACTGAGTGCCCGCAGGTCCATTCCTACCGTATGCACTCGACCGCTATCCCCTAGTGGCTTTGCTGCTGGGGTAGCTGATTGACATGTCGTCGGGACTTGGCAGCTGTGAGGGTTTAGCGGTTCACCAGTTCACCGCAGATTGAATCTAGCGCATCATGGGTGTTCGTGGGCTGTGGCCGCTCCTGGAGCCGGTGGGCCGGCGGATCAGCATCGAAGCGCTGCGAAACAAGCGGCTGGCAGTCGGTGAGTAGCTCCATCTGGCATGTCTCGTTGTCTGGGGAGCCTTGCCTTGAGCCGTCCAGCCTGCGCCACCTGCACCGCCTCCCAAGGTTGCGGTCGCCTGCTGCCGCCAGCCACCGCTGCGGCCGCTCACCCTGGCTGCCCCCCTCTCCCCCTGGCCGCAGATGCCTCCATCTGGCTGTTCCAGTTCATCCAGGCCATGCGGGATGAGCGCGGGGAGCTGATACGCAACGCCCACGTGCTGGGCTTCTTCCGACGCATCACAAAGTGAGGCCGGCGGCTCGCAGGGGCGGCGGCCACACCCAGAGCCCGGGGCAGCAGTTCTCTGCTTCTTGGCGCCTGCTTTTTTGCCGCCCCCCAGTGACCTCGCTGTGTGCATGTATGTGGTGGGAATGGACGGAAATATACACAACTTTCACCCGCTGTTGTCCTGCCCACACTGGATGCCGCCGCCCTCTCCCATCTTCAGGCTGCTCTACCATCGCATCCGGCCCGTGTTTGTGTTTGATGGCGCCACCCCGGCCCTCAAGAAGCAGACCACTGCCGCCCGCCGCAGGTGCTGGGGCAAGAAAATCGGCATGCCATGGCTTTTGGGGTGGCGCCGCTGCCTGCTGATCCCCAGCCTGCTGCCTCTGCTGCTCTTCTGTGTGCAGGAGGCGGGAGCAGCAGCACGCCAAGCTGCGCCGCACGGCGGAGAGGCTGCTGATGAACCAGCTGAAGCAGCATGCGCTGGGCCAGGTGTCAGAGGCGCAGCTCAGAAAGGCGGCGGCCCAGGCAGCAGCGGCGGGTAGCAGCGCGGCCGAGACTGCTGAGCAGCAGGAGGAAGCGGGGCCATCAGCTGCGGCTGGTGCCACGGACGCAGCTGGATTGGCAGCAGGCGAACAGGGGGCAGAGGTGCAGGAGGAGGAGGAGGATCGTGAGCAGGCTGCCGCTCGGGCTCGCAAGGGCAAAGCCCCGGTGGAGGAGCCGGCCGCAACCGAGGCAGGCGCAGCGGCAGGGCCGGCACAGCGGCGGCCGGCCGGCACGGGCGAGCGGCCCAGCAGCAGCGCGGCAGCAGCCGCTGCCGGCGAGGGCGGTGGCGCTGCCACCGCTGCCGACGAGCTGCTCGCCGCGCAGCTGGCCGCCGTGGAGTGGGAGAGCGGCGACGAGGCGGAGACCCAGGCTGCAGAGGCAGCGGCTCTGTCCGCTTTTGCCTCGCGCAGCCAGGAGCGGCGGCAGCAGCAGCGGCAGCAGCCGCGGCGGCAGCAAGCGGGGGAGGGGGAGCAGGAGGGAGAGGAGGAGGAGGAGGAGGGAGAGTCTGATGGGGAGCTTGAGATTGTTGTTCCAGAGGTGACGCCCAGCCTGGAGCGGCTGCAGCACCTACGCCAGCGGTGCGGTGCCTGGTTGGCGCATGGCGGGGCGTTGCTGTGGTGGCGTGGTTCCAAATCGCTCACCGCTTCCCCCACCTCTGCTGGGCTGCACACCTGCCGACCTGCCTGCCCCCCAACCCCCTGCTCCCCGCCCGCGCCTGCCTTGCAGGGCGGCCGTCTGGATCCCGAGGTGCTGTCCACCCTGCCGCCGTCTGTGGCCTTTGACCTCATCGCTGCGGAGAGGGACCGGCTGCAAGCGGCCAACCGGCAGGAGCTGCAGGCCAAGGCGGGCGCCCCCGCCGACTTCTCTCGGTTCCAGATGCAGCAGTACCTGCTGTCCACGCGGTTCAGGTGGGGCGGGGTGTGGGGGGCGGCCGTGGTGGCGGCGGTGGTGGTGGAGGTGATGGTGGGGTGCATATGAAAACACTGTTGTTGTGGCATTCACTGGTGTGGCTCTCTGGTCCAGGCAGCCAACTCCCGGCCCTCCCTGCTGCCAACGGTGCCACCTTGCGTCCCTGCAGGCGGCGGGTGGAGGAGGTGAAGGATGCTCTGAACAGCGCGGCGGCGGGGGGCAGCGCGGCGCGGCGGATCGCGGGCGAGGCGGGACGCGAGTACATTCTGCACAAGGACCCGCAGCCCCCTGGGCCAGGGGACCAGCAGCCGCAAGGACAGCAGCAGCAGCAGCAGCAGCAGCAGCAGGAAGGGCAGGAGGCGGAGCAGCAGGGGCAGCAGGAAGGGGAGCGGGCCCTCAGGGCAGACGCTGCTGCCGCACCGCCGGGGCGGGGACGGGCGCCGGGTGCGCAGCCAGCCACGCAGCACGCCTCGGCGGGCGCGGAGGCGGCCGAGGCGGCTGCAGAAGCGGCGGGCGGCGGCGGCGTGCTGGACATTTGCTTTGAGGTGGACCTTAGGGAGGATGGTGCAGGTGGGTGGGTGGGCGGGTGGGTGGGTGAGTGCGTCGGCAGCCAGCCACAGCAGCTTGATTGGCATCACGTGGCGGCGCCGGTCCCGACCTCTGGCTCTTTGTTTTACCTGGTGCCCAGGGTTGCGTGTCTGCTTACCTCCCTGGATGTTCCTGCTGCCGCAGATGGCGAGGACGGCTTGGAGTGGGAAGATGTGGACGCGCCCGGCAGCGGCGGCAGCGGCGGCGACAAGGACGCGCAGCACTGGCGGGAGCGGGCGGCGGCGCGGCAGCGGTACTGGAGCCTCAGCCACGGCTTCCAGATGGGGCGGAAGCTGGCGACGTGGGGGGAGCAGGAGGCGCAGGGCGCGGGCGGCGGCGCCGGCGCTGCCCAGCAGGCCCAGGAGCAGCAGGAGGAGGCCGGCGACGGCGGCGGCTCGGCTCGCAAGGCGCTGATAGGTGAAGCATGCCGCTTGCCTCGCACCTGCCGTGTGCCCAACCGCCACCCCACCCACTCTCCCTGATGCCTGCCTCCCGCTTCCCTCCACTCTCACTCCCCTTCCACTTTGCCTCCCGCAGCACGCAGCCCGCCCCGAGGCTCCCCGCGCGCCGAGGTGCCCAAAGATGAGGATGGGCAGCTGCAGGAGGCCATACGCCGCAGCCTGGCCGAGGCAGGTGGCAGCGCCGGCAGCTTGCGCGCGAGCCCCGGCGGCGTGCTGGTGTCACTGGCGGCGGCCGCCGACCAGCTGCTGCAGCAGCAGCGCCTCTTGCGCCAGCGCCTGCACCAGCAGCAACAGCAGCAGCAGCAACAGCAGCAACAGCAGCGTGAGGAGGTGGCTGAGATTGAGGTGGTGGA